TTCTTGCTCTTTCTGTCTCACCCTGGTAGGTGCGTGCTGGGGTTATCTTGTTGTAGTCTTCTGACAGAACAAACTCCTGAAAGAGAGGAAGTGGAGATAATTGGTCACTGACTAAAGTTTCCAGCAACTTGGTAAACATCGAAAAAAAACTATGTTGCTGTGTTTAAAATTACATTTGGCTCAGTTCTCTGCACATCAGAGGATGCATGCAAAATGTGCTCTGCATAGCATGTATAGGTGAGAAATAAGTACTACTTCCTCAAAAACGTAAAGACAAATGACTCATAGATCAATAAATACAAGAAAGGTTCTTGTTCTGAAGTTTCAGCTGAGGTCAACACCCTTAATAAAACACTTATGGGAACTTATGGTAAGTTATGCTGGCTTTATTTTAGGACAGCAACAAAACAAGAAGTGCACAGCAAATAATGCTACATCTAAAAATAGAGTGACCTGCACTGCGTCCGGTCAGAAATGAAACTGCTGTGTTGCTGTTTATAAAAACAATAATGGTCACTTTTTTAGAGCTTTAACTGTACGGAGTAGACCAAAAGGAAAGTCTGGTAAAGAGGTGTTGCCCTCTGGAAACAAAGAATCGCATTATTAAATTGCATTATGAGCTGCGTGACGCACTATAGGAAGGATTATTAAGTGACCAAGATCACAAGGATTCTTCCTCTGATGAGCATGAATAAAATAAGTAGATATGGTACTGTGTGAGAAAAGCAAATAAAAATGAGAGATTTATTCTCTGGAGAGCTTTGCCACAGTTTGTCACAAACGAAAGCTATTTGTTGCCACTGTAAGAAAGATCAGAGGGGACAAAATTGCTATAATGATGATGATTTACTGGAAGAGATGAATTCACATTTAAAAAGAAAAACATCTCGGCTGAGTGGCTAGATAGTGTGCTTCAGGTGACATGAAATGACTTCAAAACACAATCAAAGCAGATCAGGTTTGTGAACTAGGGCGCTGACATTTCCACTAAAACAAAAGAAATACAACTACTCCATTCATTTGATTATAACATCACCGGCAAAAAAAAGGAAATCGTTTGTCACAGAGGAAGGAGTGAAAAAACCAGAGGTCTGCATTTAAAAGGGAAGCAGGATGTTGGCTGGACTTACACAGATACTCCCAGTGTCCATCCCCACAGATAGTCTCCTGGTCTCCGGGTTAAAGGACATACAGGAGCTTGATGCTGGAGACACAAAAACACACAACAACAAAGGTTACAATTATTACTGACCTAACAGATTTCTGTGAGGCAATCTGTAAGACATCGGTAAAATCATAAGGATACTCGTGCCTTCTTTCTTAACATTGATGACATTTGTTTGACATTGTAGCAAGTGTCAAGGTTAAACCACAAGCTTTTTTTAGCCTATCAACTGCATCTCACAGTCCTTTCTCAGCTGACTGGGTCATGTGACGAGATGCAACTTAAAGGTACAGAAAGCTGATGACTTTCTTCGGCACTGTTAGCCAACAAACCCTCAAATACACTGGAAAAATCCTGACAATGGTTACAGCAGCTATCGATACATGTGAGAGAAACTTGTGCCATCTAACACTGAGATTACAGACTGTCATCACCTCTATTCGCTCGCGTCAGAGTCCTGCGTGTAGTGTGTCGGTGAACCTCAGCGGCTGCCACCTCATTTTAAAAATCCAAACCATTCCAGTCTATAAAGCTGAGCTGGCAAACTTCACTGAACAGAAGTCTCTCTGTAGGGAATCGAACCTAACACAAATAATGGACACTTAGCTTATTGTGCCATGTTTTTCTTATTTTTTATTTGAATACAGCATGAGGTTCATAAGGTCTGATTTCGGCCTCATCAATTGTTAATATGCATCTCTCGTCTGATCCAATCTACACCAGGAAACATTGTTAAATCGTGTCCTCAAGCTATTAAGCTAGACTCTGGTGCTGTACTGAATCATTTCCATTGTGTTCAAAGGCTTTCAAACTACCATAGGCTTCTCTCTGAAATGAACAACACGTCGACATTCAGAGCTGAACAATGGTTGCTGCACAAAATACAAATCACCAGTTTCAGAGGTTTTCATCTCCCGTGTTCTTTTCTCGTCTCATCGTCGGCATAACAATTAAAATGAAATAAACAATTGTATTCTCGTTTATATGGCTTTCAAAAACAGCAATTTTTACATTTAAATATGACAGAGCAGAATAAAATGCAAGATGCCAGCTGCATCAGATTAAAAAGAAAAACTGAATCTTTGTATTGTCAAGAACGACAATACTACTGTCAAGACATCAAGCCGCAGTTTATTTATTATAAAAAGCAGAACATTGCGAGTTTGAGTGAAACAATGTTTATTTTATGTTCTGTCTATCCACCCATCTATATTCTTAACTGCTTGTCTAACCCAGGGTTTGGAAAGGGCTGGAGCCTTTCCTGCAGGAGGGTACACTCTGAACAAGTTAGCAGTTTTATTTGCTTAATTTCTGAGAAATTACCATTTTAAATCTAAATATTTAAAACCCACAGTGTGTTATTTAACCCAGGGAAAATGAATCCAGAATTTATGTATTGTAGATACTTTATAATGACTGTCTAACTACTTTGGAAAACTGTTTGTTGCAATTTCCTGGAAGAGCTGGCTGAAAGTTTTAAAAGCCAAAAAAAGAAGAACGAAAGAAAGAAAGAAAGTGCAAACAAAGTCCCTGCAAAACTACCCAATTTAGGTTTCCAGAAAGCACTGGAAATATCAAAGTGTTGGAAAGCAACATAGGGATGCATAGATGCAATCAGTTTATTCTACCTTTTTGCACTTTAGCCAATAGTCGCTTTCCTTTGCAGTGATTACTGAGCAGTTTGAAAAAACTCATGTCAGGGTTGGTAACCACAAATATTTAACTAGTGCAGCCTCTGGCACTGCTATTGTTAGTGACACATCTTGCTGATCACAGCATGAGAGTTCCTTCAGTTGCACAACTAAAGAAAAAAAAAAGGGACCAACTGTCACAGTCATGCACAGAACAGAAACCGAATATTGGCAATCAATAAGCAATACTGTGTGTAATAAAAATGAAAAGAATGCTGTTATTGTATGCTTTATCAATCTATCATAAGGTGATAAGTGATTTTTGAAATTAGGCAGAAGCCACTAACCACAGACTGTATATAAAAGATGGTCATAGGCATTGCACCATCACTCATTGATTTGTGTACCCTGAATTTTGAAGCCTAAACATTAGTGGTTTGGCTACTGCCATGTTGTATTTTGCCATAAATGATTAAGTTTGGACAGAAGGGTAAACTACGAAATTATCAGCTAAAGCTAGTATGGTTAGCGTGCTGTGTTCATAAACCGCATTCAACAACGACAGATAGTATAAAACAAGGATTTTCCTTTCCAGTCACCTTTCTCACTCACTATGTGTTAACAGACCTCTCTGCATTGAATCATATCTGTTATTAACCTCTGTCTCTCTTCCACAGCATGTCTTTTATCCTGTCTTCCTTCTCTCACCCCAACCGGTCGCAGCAGATGGCCCCGCCCCTCCCTGAGCCTGGTTCTGCTGGAGGTTTCTTCCTGTTAAAAGGGAGTTTTTCCTTCCCACTGTCGCCAAAGTGCTGCTCATAGGGGGTCATATGATTGTTGGGTTTTTCTCTGTATCTATGAAGCGCCTTGAGGCGACTTTTGTTGTGATTTGGCGCTATATAAATAAAATTGAATTGAATTGGATGTAGCATTCGAGTCAGAAAAATTAAGCCAATAAGGAAGCACCTAAAAACCTGCATTCTGTCTGGAGGCCACCAGATGGCGATAGTTGTGGTCGCAAAAAGACTTCAGTCCTGTAGAAGTTTATGGGAAAACTGCTTTCTGACTTGATCTCTGTAAACACTTTCATTATGAGTTTATGGGCACAGTCACTCATTTTGGGTCATACAAAATAAAAACTGTTTTGTAAAATACACCATAAGTCATATCCATGTGTTATATACAGTCTATGGGCGCAACACATAGGAACAGATACCCTGTTAATTCGTGCCAAGTAAGAGATGAATAAAATCACCAAAACTGGTAATAGCAAAACCTCTTGTAACATTTTTTGTCATGATGTTATTTATCAATAATTCTACTAAAAATGCTCCAAATGCACCACAGACGTGCACTTCAGTGAGGCTGCGCTAACAGCTGGAGGCTACAGCTGGCAATGTTGGCAGACCCATTAATCAAAGCAGCCACTCACTAACTGTAAGCCACAACAAAAGGGGGGAGTTAGAAGAAGAAGAAAAAGACTCAACACCTACACAACTGCAAACCCATATCCAATAATGCTGAGATGCTGTTTAAAGTGTAAATAAAAAACAATACAACGAGCTGCAAATCTCATAAACACATATTTTATTCACAATAGAACATTACTAAACATCAAATGTTTAAATCGATACATTTTTAGAATTTCATGAAACGTATTAGCTCATTTTGAATTGACGGCAGCAAAATGTGACAAAAAAAGTCGGAACAGGGGAAACAAAAGGCCGGAAGTGTAAAAGGGAACGTTTTGGTGGAGGAACATTTTGCAACTAATTAGGTAACGTGGCAACAGGTCACTGAGAAAAAGAGTTTCTCTGAAGTAAAGATAAGCAGAGGTTCACCAGTCTTTAAAAAAATTGCAAATTTGCACATTTTGAACCAATTTCAGAATGTTTGTCATAAAATCATTAAACGATTTAGTGAATGTGGAGAAATCTAGCAAGGAACATGGCCCAGAATCAATACCGGATGCCTCTGATCTTCAGGCCATCAGGCGGCACTGCATTAAATACAGACATAATTCTGTCATGGAAATCACTGCATGAGGTCAGGAACACTTCCACAAATCACTCTTGAGAACACAGCTCACCGATCCATCCACTAATGCAGGTTAAAGCTCAATCATGCAAAGACGAAACACTGCAGCCAAAATACATTTAAAATGGATAAAGTGAGGCAAAGTGAAAAACTGTTTTGTGATCAGATGAGTTGAAAACACTGACACCATAGCCTCATAAGTATATTAGCGCCTAATACTGAAAACTATATAAAGCAATTAAAAACTATATAAAACCTGTATATACAGGTTTTAGAGCAACATATGCTTCCATCA